GGTAATAATTCTTGAGGAATATAGATGGAAATTATAAATACTATAGTGTTCAAGATATCCTGAGATAAACTTATGTGCATTTGCTTTTAAACCTCATTATGATACAGTTATAGGTATTATTCAGTTTTCTAATAATCTATTATATTCATTTTTGATTTCGTTTAACTCACATATATATATATATTCGAAGAAAATGGTGAGTGTAAGATTTAAGATCGAGTTTTGGCGGCTGCCTCCTTTCCATTATGAACATCTTAGCAACGCAGGTCTCCATTACAGAACTTAGGAACTAGTTTTAAATATCTTTAGATATTATAGGCTATAGAAAATATCTGAGTTCCATATTTGAGCTCCAAAAAAGCTGCGCTGAAAAGCTTTCTTCATCCTAAGAATGACCATTTACTATAGGTTTAGGCCATTTGTTGATCATATGAAATTTTAATTCTTTCAATCGTATGCCACAGAACAAGTGAGAATCAATTGTAAAATTGTAAATTATCGAGTTGAATACGTTTCACAGAGAAGATCTTTCACAACAATATAGAGTCACTTTCAAATAGCAAGATTTTATGCTAGAATAACCTTTTCTAATATTTCAACAATAGTTAATAGTTCTAGTAAAAAACATTTTTTCACAAATAATCAGAAAAAGTCTTGATGGATTCATGTAAATAATTCTTTTATAAGAGGAAAAATTTATTGATCTCGAGAAACTTAGAGGAATTACAGAAATAAATTAATAGAAAGAAGATCTATTATTTTTAGTATTCAATTTCTCGAATTGTTATCTCGCTCGTCCAGATATATTTTATATACGATACTCTAGAAGAATCGATACAAATTCTTGTATTCATTTTGACAATAACTATTTCCATATTTTTATATATCCTTCCAAGAACTCGGAGGTCAATACAATTCTTTTTTTTTTATTCATAGAGTAATCATTTACATTGTCTAGCAAGACTACTCTTCTCATTATTATTTGTGCATAAAAAAATTTTACTACAATAATCAAATGTTATTAATTTTTTTCTAACATCATGATTCCGTTAGTTAGAACAATATGTTCTTCTAGCATCAAATCTTGCAAGTTGTTGTCAGTGAATTCCTGCTTCTTCAAAAGATGTTATCTGTAAAACGTATTCAGTTCAATAGTTTGTAATCTTAAATAGTGATCTGATATTAATTCCTCATTGTTTTTTTGACATAAGATCAAATATTTCTTGAACTTTTATGTAGTCAATAAATAGTCTAAACCCATGATAAATAGTCATTGTTAAGATGAAAAAAATCAAGAAAGAAAATCATGGGTTCTAGAATACTGAAGAATATCTATAATTATTATATTAAAAATAAAATATACATTAATTTATCTTAGAACATCTTAGGGAATTACACTATCTAAGATTTCTATATATATTTCTCCAGAATTCCAACCAATATACAGACACATAGCACATCCAAATGTGAGAAAAAGTTGATTTCGTAAATACTATGACATGGACCATAAATTGCTACATTAAACCACGTATATGACATCCTGATTCAAGATCTGTTATTAAATCCTGCTAGATCTGGTAGATTTAATATTCTTTCTTTTGTTGTATCTTTTCAAAAAATTTGATTACATGCATGAACATATTTTAAAAATCTGATCTCACCATATATGATAAATCATCATCAAATTTAGTGTGATTTCAAAGTGTATCAAAGAATAGATTCATCGTGATTCTATTTTTTTTTAAATTGGTTAATTTTTGTCGATTTGGCTTACTCAAAATAGAATAATACCAATGATATATTGATAACTTAAAATTTTCATTATTATCATATGTTTTCGAAATTTTTAGGTGACAGCTATCAAGATGGTTAATCTGATGGTCTGGTGGATAAAAGCGAAGCCTAGTGAAGCTCCAGCACGAGGTTTACTTGAACATGTTCGAGAACGACGAATTACTGTTGTAACTGTGCAAAATAATCGACTTCAAGTTGAGTAAGTTATTGAAGATTGAAGCATTTTCTCGTTATAATTGAACATTCATGATTTTGAAAATATAAACATACTGCTTTTTTTGTCTTTATGATAAATCTAACACAACTAAAGTTAATTTTGTCGATTCATATGTTTGTTACTCTGGATTTTTTCGCAAAAAATAAATTTTCCTTCAGAAACACGATATTATCATATGTCAAGAAGATCGGAAATGTTGAACACATGATCATCTCTTGAAGATTCATGTCATTCGTTCTATAATAAGTTTATTTTTCATAGAATGATTACATTTCAAATAAACATGAGTATCTTTTCCCTTTTGTTACTTTAATATCTGAATTAACAAATGATGAGAGATCTGTGATAATAGTAACGTTTGTTTTTTTCTCAATACTCTTTTCAACTGAAAAATGCCTTGAAAATTTGAAGGATCTGATTTTTGAATAAAACGTACTTGTATTTGACTTACGAAGAAACATTGTTAACT